AATGATACCCTCTGTTCTTTTGTAGGTTCTCTGAGATCAGCAGATGCACAGTTATGTAAGAACAAAAACTAATATTGCACTTGAGAGTAAGAGTTGTATCCAGGTAAAGGTGAAGGATCCTTCATGTCTCTGAAGGATCAAGATAAAGATGACTTAGTCAAATTACTCTGAAACTACCTAGCAGTTATATTTACTTGCAAGAGTTTCAGAAGTAGCTAACAGTTCTGCACATTTCCACTACAATTAGTCTACTTTGGAAAATCTTAACCTTGCAGTTGCAAAAAATCTTAACTTGCAGTTGCAAAAGAGCTTGAGACCAAAGAGATCACTAGACGGGACCTACTGTCTTTGCAGTGAAGGAACCATGTAGCTTGCACACATGTGGTCTTAGAAAGCGTATACCTGCTAATTGGTGAGTTTAACAGGTTTTAGAAGTGGACCTGCACTATTATTTTTTTATGTTATTTCCTGGAAACCATTTTAAATGAAGAGAAATGGTAAATCTACAGTTTGTTAGCCATAACTATGTTTGTCTCTATGCTTGACATGAAATGTGCGTTACACATTTGCTAGAGAGAAAAATATAATGCTTTGAGATACATTGGGGATAACCTTGTTTCTTCTGCCAAGTCTGTAGACGTATATTTGCTGATGTCTGTGTGACTAGCAACTCAGGATAATGTAGGGCAGCTCAGGAGTCCTGCAAGAAAATAGCTCCATTCAAAAGCACAGAAGAAATATGTGAGTGAATGCAGCTTCCTGAGTTAAGGGACAGGCAAAGAGAACTGCATGCTCTAGACAACACAACCATTGATTTCTAACATCTCCAGGTGAATTTCAGATATTAACAAAGAGGTGAATTCCTTCTGCTTCTGAGTACTGATACAGACCAGACTCCAGTGCCTGAATACAGCCAATGCCCCATCCTCATGGCATGGTGTGAAAGTAACAGAACGGGGTACAATTAACTTTAGTGCAGAAGACCTGCCTAAGCTTGTGCACCATATAATTCTCAGCAGAGCAGCAGTGCCAGGTTTATTCAGCTAATAGTAAAGATCAGTGCAGAAAAAGGCTGAATTATTTACTCAAAATTAAAAGCTCTGTGGGCAGCAGAGCTGGCCTTATGGCTCAGGGCATTTGAGAAGATAAAGCATAAACAGTCAGACAAAAGACTCAGGTATTGCAATTCCAGGCCCTTTCACTCCATGGGATCATGCTACTCAGCCTTTGTTCCCTATTGCTTTTTTATCACTTAATCTGCATGTTACTTTTTAGGCTTAAAATAAGCTGAATAAGTTACTTTATTGCACTAGTTTTAGCCCAAAAAGTTGATAGCCAGTGTTTTCCAGGGATCGTATCTTCCCTTGAAAAGAGCCTGTCTTGCTAGATGCTATTCAGAGGGCTCAGTCTCTTCTGCTACTTTTAAATCTCAATACATCTCAAAAGTTTTGGGACAGAGAAATCTGCAGTACTGTGTATCTTACTAAAGGCATTTATCCTTTGAGAAACAGTAGTGTTTGCCTGAGTCAAAATTTTCTTACTGTGTCTGACCTTAACTCCCCTAGTCCCAATAGCAGCTGCAGGGTGTCTGCTTTCCTCTGAAAAGGCAAAGGAAGCACTTCTCTCCAGAGATTAGAGGAAAAAAGTCCTGCATAGGTGCTTGTGCTTTTTCTCCTTTGCATGCTTGTTTGCCTCTAGTGGACACAAGGAAGACTGTCAGGAGTTAAGTCAGAACTAATAAGGCACAACAGCACAACAGAAACCTCCTCGTGTAAATTAGCTTTGACTCCTGTGTCAGAAGGAAAACCAGACGTGATTGATTTCACTTCATCCACTGTTGTCTTCTTGGTCTTTAGGCTAGTGTGAGGAATATGGAGAGCAAAAACACCCAAGCATCACAAAGGTCAGAGTAATGAAAAGGTCATCCAGAGTCACTCCTTCCCTTTTTGAGGTCTGTGTCTGGCAGTGTGGTCAGACTTAAGGTCCAAAATGAAAGACCATCTCATTCACATGCACTGGTTTTCCACATGTGCATAAGCACATGCTCACTCAACGTGCCACAGTAGCTGGAGGAAGAACAGAAGCATGAGGGAAGATTCACAAGCACTGTGAAATGAACATGGAAAAGGGCTGCCTGGGTTTTGAGTCAGTTTGGATAGGTGTGAGGAATTGGATTGGGTTGGCAGTGTTTCGTTTTTATTGGGGGAAAATGTGACTTCCAGCCCAGATACCAGGTTTCTCCGAATTTGTTCCTGAGTTAGAATATTGAAGAAGGAAGTGAAATTTTGTTTCCTTATAGATTCATTAGACAAGTAATAAGAAATACTTTACCCACTTTGCAGCATTACCAATCCCATTTCCACACATCTCTGATTTGAGAAATGCATCAGTGTTAATAACACTAACTTCTAGAGAAGGGAACACAGAGCCTATGTCTTGCTGGAATCTTTTTGTTGGTGGTGGTGGTGGTTTTGTTTTCTTGGCTTTTTTTTTACCTTTCCCTTTCTTAGACTAGCAGAAATCATCTTATAATCATCAGGAAAGATGGCATATTCCTAGAGGGGTAAGAGGGACATGTTTCTGTTGCTTTTTCTGAAGTTTACCCCTAGAATTATTCCTGTTAGTCTGTGGCCAGGTTTTTATGTTCTTTGGTTTTCTAAGATCCTGTGTTTTGCAAGGCACAACCCTGGTGCTTAATGCTCTAGACTCCCTCTTCACTGTAATTTAACAAAAGTACAGAATAGATAATAGCAGTCAAATCATATGTGGTCAGTTCAGAGGAGCAGTTTATTGCCACTGGTTTAGCCTTCTTTGCAAGAAATATATGTAGTTTGTGTCTTTCAGAGTGGATAGGCCCCACACAGCCTCTTGTACCTATCCTATTTCAGCACTGCAGCTGTTGGCACTTGTAAGAGAGCCAAATACACAGAGCAGGATCTGTAATTCATTCTTTTCTTGAAAAGTACCTTACTTGTTGGGAATGAGGCCCTTCTCCGTATGACAAAGTGTGATAGAATCTAAGACCTATTAAGGAGTAAAACAGAATTGATTAAGGAATGACCTCTGTAATCTAAAGTTGTGAACTGATACTCTGAAGAGCATAGTCCCTGACTGAGTAACTGAATGAACTGGCTGGATTTGGAAATGGTGGAGACTGCTGCCACTAGAACTTAAAGCCAAAGCCTGGCCATTTCACTGAGGTGTGAAAGGAGCACAGAGGACTGACTTAAACACCAAAGCAGGATTTGCTGAATGTTTAACTGTGTGAAACCTGGACCCACATATTTTGCTTTTAATATGGCTGTTAAATTGTTTAATAGTCTGCCTTTGATCAAAGTTTTGAAATGGTGTCACAATCAATTGTAGCAAAATCTGGGGTTGGGGAGGTAATGTTTGTTGGTTTGGTTTCTTTTCAAAAGGTATCCATTTGTCCTACAGAAGTTTTATTCCTTTTAGCCTCGTACTTGAAGTTTTATCATCCTATTATTCCAAGAATGATAAACTGCTGAAGCCAGTGTGAAGGGTGAAACATCATAGCCCTGAAGAGGCCAATATGTATCTAAATTTTGGATTATTTGAAGTCTTATATGTCCAGTGTAAAGGGACCCAGGTATCTTCCTAGGAATGCAACTATCTGCAGGACTTCATGTGAGCTGAGGAACACAGAAGGGTCACTAATGACCTTGAAAGCTTCTATCTTTTTGTAGGAATGATCAGGACCTTAGCATCTTGGAGAAAAAAAAAAAAAAAAGGCAAAATATATGTAAGCATATGTTCTCAAGAATGTCCTAATACTTCATATTCTATGGCTGTGGGCAGCCAGGGTAGAAATTGGCTGGGTGAGATGAATAGCTTTAGTCTCATCTGCTTTGCTTTTCCATTCCTTCCTTTCCAAGAAAGGAACTTTGTGAAGTATCAGTCTCAAGTATAGCTCCTTGAGGCACTTAAAACCAAGCATAAAAGAGCTGCGAAAAGAATGTTGTAGGGAAGATTCAGTTAGCTATAAAAGAATTGGTCAAACTTGTCAAATTCTGCCTTCTGTAACTGAAACTAAAATTGCAATCCACTTGCACCAAGTCTTTGTTGTGTGTACTTCAGTGGTACTGACAAATCTTTTCTTTGAGATCTGTTTTGCCCTGTAAATGTGCACAGATTCTGTTAATAGCATCCATAGTAAGTACAGTGCGATCATCCCGTTCTGTGTATATATGCATTATGAGTGAAGTTAATCTTTCTGCAGAGTGCCTGTGGTATATCTGTGTTACTAAGCACAGCAGTCTGCATTATCATTTTGTTTTCTTTCTTGCCCACAGTCAAGGTATGGGCACATTGAGTCACGGTGATGGGATGTAAGAGAGTGTCACATTCTTCAAGCGCAACCTTTTGGACTCTCGAAGTTGATTCCAGTCTCATCAAGAAACAGGAACTCTTGTTAATTTGACAAGGCTTCCAAAAGCTTACCACTTACTGTTAAGGGCAATTTTTCGAACACAGTGCTTGCTTTCCTGACTGAAGGATAATGAAAGGTAATAGCCCAGTCATTTAGAAAATCATAGAATCACAGAATCCCAAGGGTTGGAAGAGACCTCAAAAGATCATCTAGTCCAACCCTCCTGCAAGAGCAGGGTAACCTAGAGTACATCACACAGGAACTTGTCCAGGCGGGCCTTGAATATCTCCAACGTAGGAGACTCCAAAACCCTCCTGGGCAACCTGTTCCTGTGATCTGTCACTCTCACAGTAAAGAAATTTTTCCTGATGTTCACATGGAACCTCCTATGCTCCAGTTTACACCCACTGCCCCTTGTCCTATCACTGGACATCACTGAAAAAAACCTAGCTCCATCATCCTGACACTCACCCTTTACATATTTGTAAACATTGATGAGGTCACCCCTCAGTCTCCTCTTCTCCGAGCTAAAGAGACCCAGCTCCCTCAGCCTCTCCTCATAAGGGAGATGTTCCACTCCCTTAGTAAAATATCTGTTTCCACTCCCTTAATAAAATATCTGTTTCTTACCAGGCATTTCTGCTCCTTAGCTGGCACAGACTCATGGATTTTAACTGTAATATTTTCATGTTCAGAAAATCTATGGCCAAGGATGAGAATTTTGATTGTGCAAAAGAAATTAGGAGTAAAGGGAATTCCATTTTTAAGATGAAAGGAGGAACTGTTAAAATGGTGGTCCTTACTGATTTAAATACTCCTGTTCTTATTTCTGCAAAACTTGTGATCAAATGCTCTGGGGAAGAGTCTGGGGCTGGAAGAGTTTGACCTTTAATGCATATGTAAATATGACTTTCAGTCGTGTATAATCTCTCCCATACAACAGATCTGTGGGTGTCCATAGGGACAGAAAGATCATATGAGTCTTTATTATATATCACAAAAAATCACAAATCATTCCTGTCAGTGTGCAGAGTGCTGCTAATGAACAAATTTCATTCCTGAAGTAGTATCTGTGATGGATGTGAGGTTGTAAGAAGTACAGTAAGTAAAGTAAAACAAGGTTAATCTAATCTCCTCCATAAAGCTGACAGGAAAAGAAACCATGTATTTAAAGTGAAAGTAGACAAAGTAGGTAACAGGCCTCTCTTGTATTTCACTCATTCATTTGTTAATTCTGAAGTTTCTTCTTGAATTTTAGGAGACAAAGCAATATTATGAGCTAAAGTTCAATGTAAACCAAAGCCTGATGTAACATGGAAAAGAGAAAGTGGGTACCAGTGGAATGTATTTTAAGAAGTATGTGCCAAGGTAACACACCTTTTATTCTTGCCATTAGCTCTTTCTTTTTTTTTTCTTTTTTTATTCTCACAATAAAAACTGTAAAAAAGAAAAAATATATTATTCCTTAGCAGTAATAAAAATGTCCCTGTTTGCAGTCAGTCTACTGCAATAATTCTACTTTAAAATAATATTTTCAAATACTTTTTTGTTTCCAATCTGAACGCTGCTTCTGAGATGATACAAATAACTACAAGTGTGCTGTGTCCACTGATGCCATCTACACTGTCCCCTTGATCATAACTAAAGGTAAGCTCTAGAGGTCTGGCTTGACTAGTAACTAATAAATGAGCTTGGAAGAACTGTGAAGTTAGACAAAATCGACAGTCTTTGCAGGATAGATTTGCTGCAAGTAGAGTGGGGTGAAGCAGGATGAAAGACTCTACCCCCTGCTGACTTTAAAATGAGCACTGTGTGTCTTGCCCTTTGCATCCACTGCACAAAAAGAACATGTTTCCAAAGGTACAAGCATTATGCTTATGGGGAAGAGCCTTTGTGTTCCCTGTACTCAATGAAAAAAAAATGATATGAAGCATATGTGTATGAAATACGTGGCACCACCAATGTGAATGGGAAATACCTCACACCTACAGTCTTCTTGTGTCTGACAAACTCTGTTACGCTGAGAGCGATTGGTAATCTGCATACTCGTATACATGAGGCTCTGTGTGCAATATCAAGATCTGAAACAAACATTTGATGGTTAAAATTGGTTGGCCAAACTGTGACCTACTTTCTTTTCTTGTATGTCCTTGCAACATTCGTGATTCACTAGTCTTTTTAGGCTCAAACATAAATATAACACTGTACAAGCCATAAACTCACCCTCAATTACCAGAGTATCTATGTGAAAACACCTTTCATAAGACAGCAGTCTTCAGTTTGAGGCCTAGTTATTACACATAATAAGCCAAATTCTCCACTGATGTCAGTGTGGCGGGGGGGTGAGTCACTACTGACTTTGGACCAGTTTTAGTGGAGAAGATGGGAATGATAAAATGCACCTTGGCACCGTTCTTTTAGTGGAAGTGAACTTTGCATAAACAGTGTTCCAGGACTTGGGAGTGATAGGCCTGGGCATAATGACAACATTCCTTCTTCATCTGCATATGCTTCCTACAACCAGCCAAATGCGTGGCTGCTCTTTGAAAGAACCCAACCACATTAGGTACAGAAAACTTGCTTTAAATCAACACCAGGTAAAACCGATATTGCCCATCTGCCCTACATTTCATTGCAGTAGGACAGAGCTTTGCTGTAAGTACCATTTTTTAAATATAGTACTTTTTAATAAAGCCTTTAGCACAGCTTGGGCACAGGCTATTTGGTAGTATGGTAGATTACCTTATTTAAGCCAAATAGTGACCCTGTGCCAGGCACTGCAGCACTCTTGATGGATAACACAGGAAGATGTCAGCCCTCCTTCAGCTTGCCAAATGGTTCCACGTATGCTTATAGAGGTTCCCTGCAACCATTTGCTTTACAATGACCTGCAGCAAAGGAGAAGAAACAGCAGAGCTAAGACAGAAGAACTGAACAGAAAAGCAGTGTGTCTGTTGGTAATTAGCTTCATGGGATTATGTGCAGCTTTCACTGAAAATAATGAACTGTAGCTTAATTTCCACTGAAATTGAAGGAATAAATTGATCTTTCTCCTATCACTCCAGAAAGAAATCAAAATTACTTCATTGATGTCTTGCTATTTAGTGTAGGAAATTTGAGATCAGAAACTAAAAATAGTAGAGTGAATGTTTATCTTTTTGGTATTTTAACAGGTGGGTCCCTAACTCCTGGTAGAACTGAAACCACTGAAAGACAGCAGCGTTTGAAATCCCCCTGCCAAACAAACTTCACTTAGAATTTCAGCGGGAAAGAGTTGAAGTTTGACGATAAATATGAAATCATCACATCTGATGATGGCTTGACCCACACTGTGAAAACTAAGAGTTTTCAGCTCAGATCAGACTGGAGATCTAGTGCTGAACGCTCTGCTCTTCATAAGTAATGCAAATTAAGCATCTTTGGGCAGTTAGTGGATCAAACACAAGACAGTGAATTTGAGCTGCAAAATCCATAAAGCTAAAATGCAAAACCTCAGAGGCTGGGCTGAGAAAACTGGAAGCCCCAGTCTCATAAACCTAGTATGTGGACTAGCAAGCAGAGGAGCATCAAGACCTTTTCACACTGGAAGTCCCAAGCCTAGAATGTCTGCTGCGCAGAAACCTATGTTATATCTTGCAAAAGCCCAACCCATTTATTCTGATCCATGAAGAGCTTACTGGTATGTGCCATTTTTTTCTTGACAGCCCCTTGCCCTTTTCCAGGGGTTCTAATTCAGTTTGTCAGTGATCTTAAGAACACTCAAACAAAAAAGAAAGGAGAAGCCTGGTGGGAGTGTGTGCTGGCTTCTGAAGATATCAGCCTGAAGAGGATGAAGAATGGACGAGTGATTGAAAGGTCTCCAAAGTACACCATTGAAGCATGAAGGGAAGAGAGGACAATTTATCATTAATCTGCTGAGCCGAGTGACTCAGGAGATTAGCACAGAGGTCGTAGGCTATGCAAGACAGTGACCCCCATGAGCAGTGACAGTGTAACTGGAAGGTAAGTGTGAATGATTCAAGAGGAAGAATAGGACACTGAAGAACGGTGTAGAGAGAGTGTTCTCCAGTGAACTCTTCAGGCAGAGGAGCAGTGCTGCTTTGCTATAACAGCTAGGAAACTGACATGAAATAACACTACCCTGTAGTCTATTTACGTTTAATGTGGAATAAGCCCTCAGTCTGTGCCCCCTCTCAGTAGCGTTAAGGTAATAATTAAGAACTTCCCTTTGCTGTATAAAGTGGTAAAAACATAAAGCAGTAAATCTTCCATTAAAGTCCTTGCACATGTCACCTAAACCAGCCTAGTAAAGTGTGCCATGTGTTTTACTTTAATCAGGGTTGTCCTAGTGAATTCTTATCATATTCTTTAAAGTGACCCATGGGACGTTTGACTGCAGTCTGCTGAGGACCAGCAGGACAACATGAGGCTGGTAAATATTTAATATAGCATTTGTTTGGGGAATTAGTTTTTCAGTAGCATTATTTATGCTATAAATTTAAGTCCATGATTTTTACAGAAAGACATAAGGCTATTAAGATCAGGAAGAAAAGTTGGAAAGCTTAGCTTCATGCTGTAGGCTGGAGAACAAAAGTTAGGGCGTGGATTTCAGTGGCTGTTAGTATTTGAAGTTACTTCTGTTGGTTGTGAGCCAGCTTTGGACTGTGCCAGCAAGTTTTTTTATTCCGTAAGAAGTGCAGCATTTTAAGACCATTTTAAAATGAACTATGTGGAAGGAGAATAAAATGATACTGGTGTATCTTTCACAGTTTCAGGAACAACTGAGTATTCATAAGTATGGTGGAAGCTTCAGGGCCAAAAGAAGTTCAGCTGTGAGGTCAAACAGATTTTCTCACATGGAAGATCGATATGCTGCTGTGCCCACCCTTGACAGATGTCTCTGTGAGGCTAGCTCTTCCTAATAGTGCTGCATTTTCTATGTCAGGTAATGCCCTGCAAACCCTGTCCTGATGTACAGAGTTGGGTGGAGGTCACTTTGTTAGTTGCATTTTGGCCAAGTATCTCTCATTTTCCTTAAACAGTCCAGAAGGGAGTGGCATCCTAGTGGCGTCCCTAACCCTGGCTTTCCAGGTGTGAAGATTCTGTGGCCAGGGTTAAGTGTGGCTGGCTGTAGTGGGCAAGGAACTCCCAGCTCCTGGAAGATGGGTACCAGGCCTGGCATGTGAGTGCTCTCTGTGGGCCATGGCCACAGTGACCTGAAGGGACAGCGTGAGCAGGAGCTTTCTCTGACTGCTCCTCTGAGGCAGAAACCACTTCAGTGGCACGGGTAACCTGGAAAGCTGTGGCTGAGCTGCCTCTGACTCCTGTGTCACACTGGAATTGCAGCCCAGTGTCTTCGTTATAGATTCATCTTTACCTATGCAGAGTTCAGTTTCAGATACCAATATTATGTAGGCAGTAGAGGAAGTGTTTGGCAGATTTGACAACTCCTCTGGACCAGGTATGGGTCTGGAGCAGTTCCAAGAGGCTGTCCTCTGCTTCTGCTTTTGTGTTCCTATTGCTTGCATTCCCTCCAGTGAACACATATAAAGAAGGGTAAAAACTACTTAGGAGCAGCCTTTCTCCTTTCCCCTTTCTTCCCAGGATGTCTGATTTACTGAACTGCTCTTCTGAAGGCCTGCCCATTTTGTTAAGAGGTCTCCTTGCCATTAAATACCTCCATGGTGTTTGAAATGCTCAGCTGACAATCATTCTTCACAGTGTTTCTGTTCACATGCTTCCATCAGGATTTCTTCTGGAGACATTTGCAACCATGAAGAATTTGTGTGTGATGTTCATGCTCTAACTGGAGCATCCTGCCAAGCTCTGTGTTGTCCCGAATGATGTGAAGATGAAAGGAATATGACTCAAGGATGATTTGCCATCCTTGAGTCATATTCCTATCCTGATGATACCATGGCTATGCCATGCCCATGGTAACATCAGTAAGGCTGCAAATCCTAGTGGGACGTTTTCTCCAAATAGCTACTGTGATGCTTGGCCTGGTGCAAATAAAGAGCTTCTGACTAAGGACAAACAGATGGACAGATCAGACAAGAACATACCTAATCTTTCCCAGTCTACTGCAGCCTCAGTCTTACTATGTTTCGGCTTTGGATCTTGGCCTTTTCAAAATCTTCCTTCCCAGTTTCCTGCAAAGGCACTTTCGTATTTGCTAGCCCATTTTTCTTAGCCGATAGACTTGCATCCTTTCGCACAAGGCTGGCTTCTCACTACCCACCGTTCTTCTCTGAAGTCTCTGCTTTTCACAGTAATGAGTAACTGTGTTCTTTGAGTGATAATGCACACCCTTTGTTACGTGCCATGTGGCTCATCTAGTCAGGTGCACAGATGACTTAACACTGAATTTGTTTTATCCATAGATCACAGAGCATTTTACCAGCGTAGGAGCTAGAAATCCTGACCACTTAGTCATTATAGAATAGGAAACTGATCAGAGAATTCAGGAACAGGGTTGGAAATAGTGTTTGTTGCAATGTGGCTTGATTCCTGCCTTAGTCTTCTTGTCACATTACGGACATGAAAAGCATCTGGATAGTGAGGCAGGGAGCCATTCACAAACTCATCATTGACAGAATGGGAAAGGGGTGTAAAGGGAGGTAGACATTCAGAGCCAAGGGCACAGTTGCCATTAGAGGTAGCCACCCCATCTCCTTTACTGCTTTTTAGAAGCTGTACACAAATACATGCAGAATCAGTGCTTCACCAGGTCTCCTTACATGGGCCTGTACCATTTTACTTGCTTACCTATGCGCATGAGCAAAACCTCTTTCTGCTTCTTCTTTCCACAAAGGGAGAAAATTGAACAGTCATACTAGTTGATTTTAAGTGACTAAGCATAGGTTTCTGTGTTTATAAATCAGTGATCAAGAATTTTGGCCCGAGCCGTTACTTCAAATGTCAACAGCAACAAGAAAAAAACCTTTTCTGAAATTACATCTAGAAATACATAAATATGTGTATTACTCAGCTCTTGGCAGCCAGATGGCGCCAGATGGACTTTCAGACTTCCCTGCAACACGGAAATAAGCCTCTTTCTGTCTGCTCTATCAAGGCAAGTTGGATAGATACTGCTGCCCAGACAGTGAGACAAACACAGCAGTAAGGATGCTCTGTCTGCAGCACTGAATATTTATCATACCTGTATTGCAGTAAAAACCCATCCACAGCAAAGCCTAGATACAGGGAGGGTTAATTTTCCTTCATTCAAAGATATTTTTCAATGCCTTTTATGACTTTCAGTAGAAGATTGTAATTTCTGAACATACAGGTTGTGTGACAAAAATAAAAGGAAAAACACAAATTATGTTTAGGAAGCTAGTTATTTTTCTTTATTGTTACCAGGAAGTTCTTATCATTTTCCCATATTACTCTTAACAAATGAGGGAGAATTTTCTTCACAAGCACTACCTAACTTTGACTCTTTATGATGAGCATAGATATATATCCCAGTGTGGCTTTAGGGATAACAGCACAAAAGACTGCTTCTTGTGCCTTGCAAGATTGAGGAACTTCCTGGAGTCAAAACTCCAGGCACTAAGGAAGTGAGGAACTCTGGGGCTTGCTATTTCCCCAAGGTCCCCCTTGCTCTGGTGAGCTGAACAAGTAAAGGAGGGCAGCCAGCTCCCTGTACAAGAACTAAATTAATTGAGTCAAAACATACTGAAGATTTTGAGTATCCCCGAAGAGTTTCATGAAATACAGAACTCGTACTCCTTAATGTTTTTACTGTAAATGAAGGGCCCAACTTTAGACAACCTTTTCTGGGAACTCGCCGCCAAAGGAAAGATGTTAGGCTATAGTTGCAGCTCCAGCTTTCAAATGTCTTCTTTTCTTTCCAGATTCTCCTGTTATTGAAGAATTTACCCTCAAGCTTTTACTGCACGCAGCCTTACTGTGAAGACTAGCCACAGCAAGCATCAAGGTGCCTTTTGAGGCAAAGCCAGTAGCCAGAGTCACATGGTTCAAAGATGGTATTGAGGTGACAGAGGAAGAGAAAGTGGTGGTGGAGAAAACCGGTAACTGTGTCAAAACTAAAACCAGCAAGTATTGCAGCCGTTATGTAAAATCACTGTCAAATTTGTAAAATCACTGTGGCTTGGCTTCTGGCAATCCTTATCTCAGGTTCACTGGTAGGTCCGAAATTATTATTTTATAACGGGACAATCACTGTTAGATGTGTTTGGTTGCACATGCTCAAGTTCAGACTTTCTCTTTAGAAATCTTACAGCAGGGCAGAGACTGAGTTACCAAATCAAGTTATTCAAATAGTTTAGTTTTGCTGTAATCTACCCTGACATACCCCATGAGAAGATATAACCCTCTAAATAATAGGATATGACCCCATGTCACTCTGGTCAGCTGCTCACACTGCAGACAAACCAAAATCTCCACAGGGAAAAGCAGAGTTCCTGCAACACATGAGGAAAATGTGAAATGAGATGGAAAGCACCCAAAGGCGATGGAGGAAAGCAGGTGACTCACTTTGTCATGGAGAGGAAGATGGCTGGAGGAAAAATCGTGGATCGAAGTACAGGTGGTGAACAGCTACACTACATTTGCTGTGGAAAAGGTGAAGGAAGGGAAAGCCTAGTAATTCAGAATACGTAACATCAACTCTGAGGGCCTCATTGAGCCCCTCAAAACAGCAGAAACTTTTTCTGGAGAATCTGTTAGCCAGCTGGTTTTTAGTGGGGTTTCACAGTCCTGTTTCCCATAGTTTTTGTCCTTTTCCTGCTTGCCAGTCCCCAAAAGAGCACTGTACCCTGTGCTTCAGGGGACAAGATTTCAAGGACAGAGCTTAGAGGCTGCTCCATAACCAGGATCATGGAAATACCCAGGTCCTTTCACTGCAGGTGTCTTTGGACTCGGAACCCCCTCAGAATGGACTGACCACAAGAGAGGACTGACTGATACACTTAGTGTCAATTCTGTAAGCTTAGTAGAGTACAGCAGAAGTGAAAAGTGTGTTTCTCTAGAAAATACTGTGTGGGAGGAGAGAAAAGGGAATGCTTAAAATCGTTTTGTTTCATGTCAAAAAAAAAAAAAATCAGCAAAAAACTATCTTGGTTAGAAAATGCTGTTGAACTATCTTCTGGGAGTTATAGTTCAGGTACCTCTTGCTCTTATTTTTTCTTTTTGGATTGGAATCCACAGTGAAAGGAGATTTGCAGTCCCCTTTCCCCAAGGCCAGAATGTAGCACAGAAGACACAGTGCAAAAGCAAGTCTGGCCTATTGTAATTACCACCTGAAGTAATATATATATAATTTTTCACCTAGAACATTGCATTTCTGTCCAAACTTCCTATGGATTAAGGAAGGCATTTCTGAGCTGCTCTGTAATGCATTGCAGAAAGAGATGATTTTTGAATAAGTGCAAGAATTGAAATATTTCAACAGTGTTTAGAAAAATGTTAGTTAGTTTTAGAAAAATGAATAAACCAAAACATACAAGTTACCCTCCTTGACTTCTTGGCATCTTATATGGATGTACATAACACATCACACAATTTGGAGTCAACGAATTCTGATTGTACTGTGCTAATTTGATTTTCTTTTTGTAGAGCCTCTGAAACAGGTGTCTCAGCCTCAAGTTGTAGATGTCAGGAAAGAATCTGTCCCCATCACCTGGAACTCCCCAGCCCTGGATGGAGGCTCCCCAGTGAAAGATTACGTTATAGAAAAAAGAAAGAAGGGCAGCAGTCTTTGTTTCCCAGTCACCAAAGAGCCAGTCCAAGGTCAGACTAAGATTACTATCTCTTTTATGTAGGCAGAAGGACAATTAAATAAGCTTTGAATGAAAAGTGGAGTTTTGATTAATCAAGGAAAACTTATTCATGACATCCAGCAAAATACACCTTTTGACATACGCTGTTCAAAGTGAAATTTTCAGCCCTCAAATAAGAATGGCTTGATACCCATGAGGGGGGCAAACACTCAGCAGCTCTGAAAGTCACATCTATGGATTTGGGTGCCTAATTTCAAACATATTTTTTACATTTCTCCCTATATAAATTTGACTGCTTTTACCCAACTTAGACCAGAACTGAATTAAACAAGTGACTGATTTTGTTGTATCCATATATTGGGTTTGCATGGCAAAGTTTTGGTCGCAGGGTAGGCTATACGGATGATTTCTGTGAGAAGGTGCTAGAAGCTTCCCTTATGTTCAGTAGAGCCAATGCCAGGTGGCTCCAAGAGTGACCCACTGCTGGCCAAGGCTGCACAACGGTGGTAGCGCCTCTGAAACAGCATAGTTAAGAAGGATAAAAAGCTGCTGTGCAACAGCAACCAGAGAAGAGGAGTGAGAATATGTGAGAGAAACAACTCTGTAGACACCAAGGTCAGTGAAGAAGGAGGGGAAGGAGGTGTTCCAGGCACTGAAGCAGGCTGGAGCAGGCTCCTGGCAGCACATGGGGACCCATAGAGAGAGGAGCCCACGCTGGAGCAAGTTTGCTGGCAGGACCTGTGACCCTGTGGGGACCCATGCTGGAGCAGTCTGTTCATGAAGGACTGCACCCCATGGAATGGGCTCACACTGGAGCAGTTCATGAAGAACTGTAGCCTATGGGAAGAACCCATGTTGGAGATGTTTGTGAAGGACTGTCTCCTGTGTGAGGGACCAGACACTGGAACAGTAATAGAGTTCAAATTGTTCTGTGATTCTGTTATTCTTCTCTGAGAAGGAAGAAGCAGCAGAGACAATATGGTGAACTGACCACAACCTCCATTCCCTGTCCCCCTGCACTGCTGAAGGAGAGGAGACAGAGTTTGGAAGTAAAGTTGAACCTGGGAAGAAGGGGTGCTAGAAGGTGCATTTAAGATTTGGTTTTATTACTTATTATCCTACTCTGATTTGATTGGTAATAAATTGAGCTAATTTCTCCAAGTCAAGTTTGCTTTGCCCATGATGGTAATAGGTGAGTGATCTCCCTGTGCTTATTTTGACCTACAGGCCCCTCTCCATTTGAGGAGGAGGAATGATAGAGCAGCTTTGGTAGGCATCTGGTGTCCAGCCAGGGTGAACCCACCACAATTCATCAGATAGCAACCATATGATCCATGCTTAGCACAGCTTGTATGACACATGGGAGTGTTCCTGTCAGCAGCAGTATCTGACTAACAAGACTTTTTCTTTTCCTTTTCTGTTAATATTTTGGTTCTTTCTTGGGTTCTTTTTCTGTCTCATTCAAAGTGTTGGAATTTAATATTAAGTTACAATCAATCACACTATCCAAGAATATCCTCCTTAAGATACCAATATTATTCATGGTAAATAATGGAAACAGTTTTTAAGATAAATTATTCAAGGGGGTTTTACCCTTTTTATCCTGAGTGTGGTTTTGGGGGGGGGTGGTTGTTTGGATTTGGGTTTCTTTTACTCAAATGGGGGTTTAACCTCGGTTGAAAGCTTGGCTGCTCTATTGAGTCATCATGGGAAGTCCCACTGAGGTGGAGCAAGACATGAGGATATTTTTCCTCAGCATGTATGATTACACTAGGCTATAGACCATAATCTAGTGGAAAGCAAATTATACATTTTTCCTCATATTATACGTATCAAATTTCCATCTCCTCCATAGGGAGAGAGATACAAAAATGGTGCAGGCCACTGGAGAAGTGAAGGTTAGACCTAGTTAAGGGGCTCCCTAAACCCCTGAAATTTGTATTGTTCTCCAGCGGTCTATGAGCTGAAATTTCTTCTTGGTTTATATCAGTCCAAAAACAGTAAGTAAAAGATTAATGATTATTGGGAACACTTTTATGGGTGATTAGAGAGTTGTGTAATTGCAACGTGTGTCTCTAGGTACCAGATTCAAAGAGGATGGTCTTCTGGAGGATATATAGAATCATAGAATAGTTAGGGTTTAAAGGGACCTTAAGATCATCAAGTTCCAACCCCCCTGCCATGGGCAGGGACTCCTCACACTAAACCGTATCACCCAAGGCCTTGTCCAACCTGGTCTTGAACACTGCCAGGGATGGAGCGTTCACAGCCTCCCTGGGCAACCTATTCCAGTGCCTCACCACCCTAACAGGAAAGAATTTCCTCCTTATATCCAATCTAAACTTCCCGTTTAAGTTTTACCCCGTTACCCCTTGTCCTATCGCTACAGTCTCTAATGAAGAGTCCCTCCCCAGCATCCCTATAGGCCCTCTTCAGATACTGGAAGGCTGCTATGAGGTCTCCACGCAGTCTTCTCTTCTCCAGGCTGAACAGCCCCAACTTTCTCAGCCTATCTTCATACAGGAGGTGCTAGAGTCCCCTGATCATCCTCGTGGCCCTCCTCTGGACTTGTTCCAACAGTTCCATGTCCTTTTTATGTTGTGGACACCAGAACTGCACACAATACTCCAAGTGAGGTCTCACAAGAGCAGAGTAGAGGGGCAGGATCACCTCCTTCGACCTGCTGGTCATGCTCCTTTTGATACAGACCAGGATATGGTTGGCTTTCTGGGCTGCAAGCGCACACTGAAGCCAGCTCATGTTCATTTTCTCATTGACCAGCACCCCCAAGTTCTTCTCTGCAGGGCTGCTCTGAATCTTCTCTGCCCAACCTGTAGCTGTGCCTGGGATTGCTCCGACCCAGGTGTAGGACCTTGCACTTGGCATGGTTAAACCTCATGAGGTTGGCATCAGCCCACCTCATAAGTGTGTCAAGGTCTCTCTGGATGGCATTCCTTCCCTCCAGGGTATCAACCGAACCACACAGCTTGGTGTCATCAGCAAACTTGCTGAGGGCACACTCAATCCCACTGTCCATGTCAGCGATGAAGATGTTGAACAAGACCAGTCCCAACACCGATCCCTGAGGGTCACCACTCGTTACTGGTCTCCAGCCGGACATTGAGCCATTGACCACAACTCTTTGTGTGCGGCCATCCAGCCAGTTCTTTATCCACCGAGTGGTCCATCCATCAAATTGATGTCTCTCCAATTTAGAGACAAGGATGTCACAGAATGAGCTCTGCGTGATAGCTGTGAACTGTGCAGGCCCTGGACTTCTCAACATGCCCTTTGCCTCTCATTGCAAAGGAACTCATCAGTATGTTTCTCTCACTATTTAATGTCTAGTTTTCCTGGTATTTTCTAGTTTTCATGCATGCCGTGACCAGGTCTATGCATTTATGAGTGAAGTCTGAGGGACAGTGGCAATCCAGCCTGGCTCAGTGTGGAGAGTATTATGTTTATAGCTTAACTAAAGGTTAAGGAAGGCCTTAATACTGTTGGCTATAAATGTAATTATAAATGCCTGGAAGTATGATATTATTCACTTAAAACCTTTAACTGTTAACATAAGAATGTGGTAAGAGATTCCCACCTGGGGGGAATTGAGTATATGCAAACAGCAGAGATTGACATGATAAAGATGCCCTGAGGTATAGGTACCTTTACTACTTAATAGTCATATACAGGTTGCCAAAGGCCCTAATGTATGATGAAGAAACTTTCTTACATATCTTATTATGCTCTTTCATCCATCTCCCATCACCTCTTTAAAAAAAAAGAGAAGATTCTTGCAGAATTTATGGAAGTTGGTTACATTCTTTTATTTGAATACTTGATTTTTAGTTCAGGAATCTTGTAATGGACACACAGCCTTAGTAGCTGTACATAAGGTAGGGAAAAAAAAAAACAACAAACAAACCAAAACCAGAACACCTGTCCAAGTGTGGAAGCTGATATAGCTAAAAAATAAGAGAATACTATGTAATAGTACAAGTGCCTTGAAGTTAAATAGTTACTTGGATGGGAAAGGGATTCAGGATCCTTTGCATCAGGAGACACACAGAAGCAGTTTAAAGCCTGAAGCTAAGATTCTTCAGTTGAAGACTTGGATTATCTCATATTAGGCCTAGGATTATATATACTGTCCGTATGCATCATATTCCTTGTAACCCTGTGTGCTCATTCGAGTGTTCTGTATGAAAACAATTAGCATCAAGTCTGTCAAGGCATGCTGCACTGGCTGACTTTTTTGGTTTGGGGTTGGGGGTGTCATTGTACTTTAGCTGAGACTTTTAGAGCAGAATGTGGATTTGGATACATAACCTGCTATTCATTTGATTAAAACCACATAAATATTTTTTAATATTCTATCTTTTCTTCTTCTTGCATATTATGGTGATCTACCTAGAATGCTGAAAGGTGGACTAAAGAGCAAAAAGTATCTCTATTTTCAAAAATGACCATTAATTGGTGTTACTGTTATCTTTGGCAAATAAACTTGAAGGATATTAACAGGATCTTGCAAGCCAGTAAGTTCACTAATCCAAGCAGTCCAGATAGCACCAGACTGCTTTATACAGGACTATAAGACGGGTTTATTAAATAAGGCAGTCAAAGCCATACAAGACAGGTTATAGGAAATGTACTGCAGAGCTTACCAGTCAGCTAGGAAGAGACAGAAGCAAAACTTTAATGCTAGACACCTCTCCCAAACACATGAGGATTTTTCTTAAATGGCCAACCTTGGAACAGAGTCCTACAGTATGTGCTGTGTTAGGAACTGCATTGTTTTGTTGGGCAGAATTTGCTCTGTGTTTACTAAGGCTCCTTTTACCCTAAAACCTTGCAGGTTCAGCATCTTGAAATAGGAACAGCTCTATATTCACATATGCAAGCATAGGCATGCCGGTAGAGTTGTGTGTTACAGCTCTCTTGCTGTCACAGTGCCTCCAGGACTGCCGAAGATGGTGGATTTTTCTAACTCCAGCATTCTCTTAGCCTGGCTGGAGCCAGACCATGAAGATGTGATGTCGGGATACATACTAGAGATGTGAGCTGAGAACACCAAGAAGTGGACAAAATGCACCAAGATATCTATCTCTAGTACCACGTGTACTGTGGGAGGCTTGTAGGAGAAACAAATACTATTTCTGAACCCAAGCTTTGAATGAAGCTGGTATAGGAGAAGCAGTGGAGTTACAGGAAGCAATTCTATCAATGCCACCTTCAGGTGAGACCTGCAGTATCCATCCAGCTGCAAGTCCCATCTGCCAGCTGTTACTTCTTCTTATGTAATATGTTTTGTAAAGGGTTATCAAATTAATCTTGCACAAAAGAACATTCACCATCCCAGCTCTGCTGCTTTTTACTGAGTTTTCAGAGGTGCTGAGGGGAGATGGAGAAGAGCGCAAGCTGTGCTTGTGCCAAATTAAAATCATCTGCCATCCTTCTTGCTGAGCTGTTCTCTGAATATCAGCTGTAACAGCAGTTGTTTCTTCCACCATCTGACCTTTCACACCACATCTCACATGTGATTACAGAGGTCACTGTTGGAAGATTCTCTGATTCCTGTCATGGATACTGTAGTATGGGTTAGGAGGGTGGGTACTACAGCAAATAAACTATCGTGTTTGAAATGGTGTTTGTTGTAAATACAGTGGTGCTGAGACAGGATTAATATTCTTTCAGGTCCTCAGTTTGAATGGGATGAACAGTAAGGTGCCAGCATGCTAAAGGTGAAATAATATTATCAGAGGTCATGCTTCAAAGACACTAGTTACATCTTGAGAATGAATGTATCATGACCTGCCATGAAATCCCTAGATAGCTTACTCTTCGAGGTAGCAAAGTATTTAAATCTTTATTGTTTATTATTTAGAATTGCTTAGTTATTAATTATGAACTCAGACTTTTTTATGTCTAAAACACTTCCAGGTAACCATGGTGCTGACTGCCCTCGGTAGCTATAACACCAGCAAGAAAAGATTCATGAGTCATGTTACATAGTGTTGATTCCTATACAGTAAAAGGACAATCAGGCTCGACTGAGGAAGTCTCAGAAGTCATATCCAGGTGATATTGGGAAAAGAGCTTATGACATTGCAACCCTTATACTAAGTGCTTCTGCTGAAACAGTTTGAAGGTTTCTTCTTCCAGTCTTCAGGCAGGACTCAACAGTTTAAAGAATGGCTTTACATTTCTTTACAATCTCTCTTTTAATTTTTAACTTCTCTCTCTCGTTGTTTTTCTTTTATCCACCCCATAGGTTTGATATGACTGTGAGGCTGAAGAGCCACATGGTGGTTTGTGTTGGGACAGCACCATGCATTTTTTGAACATGCAGTTTATTTTTTGAGCATTCAGTTAACACTAACCAAAGTGAAATCATTCTTGAGTAAACCTTGAGTGACCCAGGGGAGTCACTGAGTTATAAAGACAATGCTTGATGTCTCAGCACTGTCCTTTCTGAGGTACAATTTCTATTAACGTGGATATTGATCTCATTTCTGTAGAGGCTAAGGGCACCTTCTGTGCTTTCCTTTTTTTTTAAGCATAGACTACTGCATGAGCTGAGGCTCTACAGTACTTTGCAGAATCAGCCACAGTGTACAAGTTTATCTGTATCACATCAGCTGTTTTCTCTCAGCTTTCACAATGCTCAAACTAATGAACTGTAGTATGAGGTTTATGTGGCATCTCCCAGGCTAATCAAGTTCTATGCATTTTGCTGAGTGCAAAACCTTTACAGCTTGAAGAAATCTCTAGGACTGTTGTCCTTGAACTATTTTTCTGTCAGGCTGATCATGTACAAGTGGCTCTTGTAGACACAGATATCTCTTTTGTGCTCAGAGATGTAGCTTGTTTCTGTTGCCTTCTGAGCCAGGAAGCAGAACACTATAGCTGTATGTTTGCCCTGGCCAGGACTCGTCACCACCACCACCAGTGATGTGGCAAAAAGAAGGCATACCAGCATGAGGGAGCACAAGAACCATTTGCCATCCCTATTCACAAGACCAGGCAAATGGTTTCTGACTAGTACCAGATTATCCTCAAGAACAGTTATGGAGAATGCCTTTATGACATTCAGATGCAAGTTGCAGGTACAGTATAGAACAAACTTGATCATCTTGGTCACCTCTGGGTACTGACAGGAGGTATTCCTCTGTTGACAGAAATTTCACACAATTTCTCCATCAATACTGGAGTTGGGGAGGTTGGGTTTTTCCCTGGGGAAAAAAGCAAAGAAAAAAAAAAGAATTATCCCAATCATACACACCCCTTATCTTAAAAAAGCCACAGGAGCAATCCAAAATATTTCCACTCAAGGGGAGAAAGACTTCCTGGTCAGAAAGGATTTTCCTACCTCTTGTCACTGTGTTTCTTAAGTCCCATCTTCACACTAGGTCAGAGACAGTTAGCTGGGCCAAGCAGCATGGTTCAGAGCCAAGGGGTAAGGAAGGTGCTTCTAGGGCTTTGGTCACTCTGTCCAATGTGGAAGGAATTGGTGAAGCAGTTGTTGCTCCAGACATCACCAAATGCTGCCTTGTTTTTCATGCCATTACTTGATCGGGCAAATCCCCCTAACGGCGCTAACACAACAGTGTCTGTCCCCTCAGCAGTCTGGTGACATCATTTCTATTGCAAGTGGGCCTGTGACAGCCAAGTGGAGGCAGGCTGGCTTGCTCCTGCTTAATGAGATGGCTTACTGCTCCTGCTTACTTAAGCTCCTGCTTACTGCTTGCTCTTCCTTGCTGAGAGACTCCTGTTACTGTAATGATTTGTTGGGGGTTTGGAACCTTTGCAGTGTACGTTGTACTTACCAGCTCTACAAAGAGTGCTTTAAAAAACTAACAGACTTCCTTTTTCATGAGACGGGAACTACATGCACAGGGAAAATTGGCCCTCAGGTTGCTCAGGCTAGAAGAAATCAAGGAAAGAAATACTTCCCTAGACACACAGGGACTATGGAAGGGAGGAGCTGAACTGAAAACATTTTAACCTCAGAAAAATACAGAGGAAGCGTCCCAAACAGAAGAAATCAGTACTTAAATGTGCTCATTAATTCTTAGATTTCCCCTGACCACCTGCTGATGTGCAGCTGGTTGAAGAAATCCCTAATGCCCTAATGCTGTGACCCTAAATCATAACTCAGGGGTAGAAGATGACTAGCAGACAGATAATTGTGTCCTGAAATGTGATATCAGTTCTGCCACATGGTTCACAGCCGCAGAGGTCTACAGCAATAAGTACACTGTCACAGGCCTGCTCCCAGGGAGGAAAGACTTCCGAGTTATTGTCTGCAGTCTCACTGGGGACACTGACCCTCTGGATTCACAGGAGCAGTGGTACATCTCCAAAGACAGAGGTAAGCATAAAAAGCCATGACAGCACTGAAGGAAGACAGGTTCTCTTGCACATAGGACTGTGGACTAGCTCAGGCTCCCTCTATGGCCTTAGGTATATCACTAAACTATTCTGCACCTCAGGTCCCCACCTGGGGAATAGATGCAAGAATACCTCCAGGCCTATCCTATCCATTTGTTGTTAACCTCTTCAGGCTTCCTTTTACTGCATGCATGTGTAGCACATTATGTAGCAGTTCATACCGATGCTGTTTAAAATTCAAGGGGCCATCTGTGTACGGAGAAGGTGATACTGGCATATCTTAACAGAAGATTGGCATTGCAAGTCGTTTGTCTTGTAGCATATTTCCAGTCTGACTGGGATTTGTTTCCTAAATAAAAAGCAAACAAATCTGTCACACGTAGGACACTGTGTGACAGTATTTCTGGGCCAAAAGCTATAAGAATTCCTGAAAAGTATGTTAAATTAAACACTTGGAGGTCATCCCACCACGTAAACACCTCCTTTGTTCAGCCACTCCCTGCTCTGGCCTAGTCAATAATAAGGATGTCTTATTAGCAGGACCTCTGGAAAAACCTGAACGTGCCCCAGCTCATCAAATCTAAATGGTAAGTGAGAGTCCTGCCCAGTCTGGGGGGCAAAGCAGAATGTAGTCACTCTGAGTAATGAGACCCAAGCCAAATTTTTTTGCTTGGCTTACTCCTGTTACATAATATAGTAGTATGAAACAAACTATATATTAATACATATTTTCAGACAGTATATATATTTCTTCAGAAGCCTATCCACATGCTGCTACAAGTCTTCTAATCCCATTAAGCATAATGGGCAATACATTAAAATAACAGAATAAGTTGTACCTTAAGGTGAGCAACGAGGTGTCAAACTGTGCATTTAACTATCAGTCTTCCTTGATAAACATAACTAGACCATAGGTATGTTACTTCAGCTACATGTGCAGCTGAGAAAGAGCACTTCCAGTTACGTGGCTATGGTTGTGTTCTTGTGTAGAGAAGTACTCCAGGCCTGAATTTTACAGTGTCTGAAACAAATCGTGTAACTTCTTTGTATGTAGGCAAGTATAGGGGAGTAGTAAATGGAGGAAAGCTGGGTTGTTTGTACCTTGCAGTGCATTCCCTTGAACATTCCTTTGATAACAGCCTACCTGTTTTTAGGCAGGACACAAGCAGATGAGAACTGATTTCCTATTCTTCTTTATAAATGGCAAGTCACATGGTTTATTTGCACAAACCTGAGAGATGGTAGAAAAGCTCTGAAGGATAAGAAGGAGATAAATTATTTTCTGAGAATGAGTTATCATAGGAGAATTTTGCTATACATTGCTACATTTAGGATCCAGGGATTTATCTGAAGGGTCTTCATTCCAGTGCAAAAGTTGATAATAAAGACTTCAAGAAATGTGTTTAAACAGGCTGAAAGTGGAAGTTTTGCAGTGGACGCTGGAAAATAAATTGCACACTCACTTTCCCTTGATTCCCTCAGGGCATTCCGTAGACTATTAGTGCCTCAGAGAGACACCAGCAGAGTAATATCCCTTCCTTTACAAGATCACCTTTGGTTTTCTTTGCTTTGGTTTGTACTTGGGTGTAATTTAATCATGCATTTCTAAAGTGCTTTGGGAGCCAAATATCCAAAAGCACTTTACAATTTAAAGGCGTTAGTGAGAGAAGGCATCAATATATCCCCATGGAGCAAAAACATGATACCTTATTTACAGACCAAGAAACAACGAAATTAATTGCTTGCTTACAGTTGCATAGATTGATGAGAGAATAAGATTTTTGATTCCTTCTGCTCTTGCTTTTCAGTTTGTATTTGTTTACATGTTGATATAGGTATGCTGGTCAGATGCTAACAGTAATGTGGTGTATTGTTTGTTCTTCCCTGAATGAAATCGTTTCCCTGAGTTTTCCCTGGTGGCAAATAAGGCCCAGGTCATGAAATACCATACCGAAGCTCTTTGGATTTGTACTTGTGCAGAAGACTCTGTCTTGATGGTGCTGGCTCTGTGTTTGTGTGTGCAACAGGCAGTGCAGTGCGAAGCATCCCACAGTGACTCCATCCTCAGCAGAGTGTTTTGGCTTCAAGATGGGGTATCCCAGGAAGATCTCTGCTTCCTTGTTTCGTCGTCCCATTGAAGAATCACAGAGTGAGTCATGGCAATGACTATGATGTGAGCTGTGCTTTCACCAGCAACCCCTACCCAACAATGATGCTGTACAAGAGCAATATTAGTATCACGTCCAAGACTAAGTTGTGGTTCATCTCAACAAGTAGTGTTGTCTGCTTATCATCCCTACAACTTGCAGCTGCAAGCTGATCATCTGATCATCTGTGGTAAATCAGTTTTGCAGCCACTGTGATTTTTTGGGTCTCTCCAGGTTGAGTTAACAATAGATTTCATGTCTTAGTATAATTTACACCCTGCCGCTTTCCAGGGCGAGTACACTTACTGGAACTGGCACTGGGGATCACACTTCCCTGAGCCAGTATGGCTCTGGTCTTTGTCCACAGAGGAAGAGATTGCTCAGTTTGTAAGTACTGCAGTTTCATATCCAAAACCACAGCCTAGTTCTGACTTTGCCTTCCTCTGAAGTTACTGTGATTTGTCTTCAGTTGCTTGAAAGCAAAGTAGTAGATCTCTTAACATGGTCTCATGAATTGCCTAGATAGCTCAAAAGCAAGTATGGGCATTTCTCAGTTCCTAATCTGCCTGGCTCTGCACATGTGGCATACTTAGCACCTCCAAGCAGTCAGCTGGTAACATTCTAACAGCTTTGTCCATTTTTTGCAGATACCACAGACACTGCACTGGGTAAAGCAAGTAAAAAATTGTAAGACACAAAATGGAAGAAAATAAGACACTCCATATCCCACTCTCCCTCCCTATTTTTTTCGATGCTGGAAGCTACCACCCACTGAAACTTTAAATCAGGTTGTAACACCTTGGTTCCAGCTGTCTCAAATTGGTCCTGTAAGACTGTACACTTCCAGGTGCATAGGATGACGTTTTACTACCAGTAACTCATGTCTTCGTGCCACCATGCCCAAACTTAGAGCTTGCAGAGGGGTTTTACAGCAGTGCCGCAAAACAGCTGTGTCCTGTGATGTTCATCAGGCCCTGCTTAGCTCACCCTGCTTATGATTAGCCAGGGAGCATTCAAGGTTAAAAAAGAGCAAGAATCATCCATCCTTTGTCTGTCATGACACTGAAATGTTTTCTCACTTCTCCCTTTCTAGAGAAAGGCCCTGGTGCCTCAGGTGGCCTCTTAAAGGGAACCAGAGAGAGACACTCATGAAATGAAATGGTGTGAAATGAAACTGATACAGCACCAATAATGAGGGCTATATTTGGAAAGATCTTTTATGGTTATTTTTGTCTATGATCATTGCTTCTGGACAGCCTGCTGACAGCTGCTGAGTCCTCCCCCTTCCTAGGTTTAGTTCTCTCCACTAATGCTGAAGTAGCTCACTGGGGGTCAGTGGAGGGAAAGGATGTGCACGCTGGGTTTCCTGCTCTGATTTTGCAGCAAACGTTTCTGTCTTTGTGTGCAGGATACATGCAATACATTTCTTTCACTGAAGCCAGCCACTAAAAGACTGAAAGAAATTCTTTACCATTTTTTAAGAATTCCTGGTTTTACTTGGTCTCTCACTTCCCACACTCCCTGATACACTCCCCCCTGAAGCCACAGTTTCAAGCCACAGCGGGGGGACAGCTTCCTTGTCCCTAAAATCAGTGGGAGCTTTCCCTGGTCTGGCTGTCAGCCAGACTGAAGCAAGAGGAACCCTGGCAGCACTGCTTATCTAGGTTCAGGGAGGGCAGGCAGGCCTAAGGGTCGCAGGAACAGCTTGCTTTCCCCTAGATCTGATTGTTCCCCTAAGACCCTAAGTCTTACCTTCTGCCTTCCCACACAGAGCTTGTTGCAGTGACACTGTTACAATAGGAACATACCTCTTCAAAGGTATTTAAAGCAGGCTGTTTCCAAGCAGAGGCTTGTGAAAGCACTGTGTGGGTGAGATGCCAATTTATATTCAGATTCTTTAATGGCAGCCTATTTTTGAGGCCTCCTGAGGCTCCTCTTTACCTTGACTTGGGCAGCCTCCTGGGAGGGTCTCTCTGCTGGTAGGGCTATTTACAGCTGAGTGAGGTGGGAAAGCAGGGGTTACAGTAAGAGACTGTAAAACTGACTTTAGGAGATAGCTTAACTGACCTTAACTGCAGGTTTATTTTAGATCTCAGGAACTATGTTCTTGCTGATTTTAGTTCTGGAAGAGGAACAACTACTGCCTTGAGTCAGGTGCTAAAAGACATACCAAATGTGAAAGTGGTATTTGTTAGGCTCTTTCAGATCAGGACTTGTAAGACTTTTGTTAGGGACTGTTTTTTAAGAGACTTGCAATGGCATTTACTTGGTTACAGGCTTTCATAAGGGAAAGGAGTAAGGAGCAATCTAAGGGATGGGCAAATCTCCCAGTTTGCGTAGTGGTGCAGGAGTCTCAGCTACTGATTTCTATGCTGATTTCATGGGAGCTAAACCTCTCTAATGCCTGTCTCTGTTCATCTGAATGTATTGTGGTGACCCTGGCTGGATGCCAGGTGCCCACCAAAGCTGCTCTATCGTTCTTCCTCCTCAACTGGACAGGAGAGAGAAAACATAAAAGGCTTTGTGGGTGGAGGTAAGGACAGGGAGAGAGTATTCACCAATTATTGTCATGGGCAAAACAGACTCAAGTTGGTTAAATTAGTTTATTACTAATCAAATCAGAGTAGGGTAATGAGAAGTAAAACCCAATCTTAAATACACCTTCCCCCATCCCTCCCTTCTTCGCAGGCTCAACTTTACTCGCAAATTCTCTATCTCCTCCCTGCAGCGGTAGAGGGGGACAGGGAATGGAGGTTGTGGTCAGTTTACCACATGTTATCTCTTCTGAATCTTCCTCCTCAGGAGAGCTCCACACACTCTTCCCCTGCTCCAGCGTGGGGTCCCTCCCACAGGAGACAGTCCTCCACAAACACCTCCAGCGTGGGTCCCTTCCATGGGGTGCAGTCCTTCAGGAACAGACTGCTCCAACGTGGGTCCCCCATGGGGTCACAAGTCCTGCCAGAAAACCTGCTCCAGCGCAGGTTTCCGACAAGGTCGCAACCTCCTTCATGGAGCTTGGGGTCCTCCATGGGCTGCAGGTGGATATCTGCTCCACCATAGACCTCCAAGAGCTGCAGGGCACAGCCTGCCTCCCCATGGTCTGTATCATAGGCTGCAGGGGAATCTCTGCTCCAGCGCCTAGAGCGCCTTCTCACCTCCTTCTGGACTGACCTTGGTGTTTGCAGGGCAGTTTCTCTCATGTATTCTCACTCCTGTCTTCAGCTGCAGTTGCCCAATTGCACAGCAACGTTTTCCTCTTCTTAGATATTGCTGATGGGGTCTGCCTTGACCAGTGACAGGTCCATCTTGGAGCCAGCTAGCATTGGCTGTGTTGGACACAGGGGAAGCTTCCAACAGCTTCTCAACAGAAGCCATGCCTGTAGCCCGCCCCACTACCAAAACCTTGCCACACAAACCTAATACAGGTATGCTCTTCTGTCTTCTCTTAAGGAAAGACACCTACATTCTTCTGCTTACCCATGTTTTCAGTTTTAACCCTTTTCTTAATATCCTCAAAACCAACTAGGGCATTGCTCCACCTCCATGACACACACCAGCATATTTCCTGTTGTTGAAGCTCAGAAGGGGTGAATGCAATTTTACTTAGGCTGCGAAGTGGCAGGCTGCAGAGAACACAAAGCCTGTGAGACCCAAAGTGAATTATTAGAAACAGTGGTGAACTGAACAAGGAGAAATGAGAATGAAAATGAGAACTCCCTAAATGTAGCCCTTCACTTCCTATAAAAAGTGCTGCCAGTCAGCTTTTTTCTTTATATAGTGGAAAGCTTTATAAAGCTTTATATAGTTTTTTAGTCAGAACTTTGTGAGACTTGGACTCAAAACATAGCATTGCTTGCAGTAAACTATGGTACTTTCATTTTTCTTTTTTTTTTCTTCTTAAAAATAGGGCGATAAAAGCCTCCTGGACACAGTGACAGAAAGTTTGCAGAAGACAAAACACAAGATATAATTAGTGGAACTTGCTCTTCCTGGTTCAGCATGCAGAACAACATTGCTGTGGCTGTGTAGTTTGTTTGTGTGGCTCAAAATGCAACTGCCCTTGGCTTTTGTAATAGTCAGTTAAACCAAGTAGCAGAGTGGGGCTTCTGCTCAGCAGGGATGCTAATATTTCCATCTTACTTCCCTCTGAGTGGTTTCAGACAGCAGGGTATGTGTTACATTTCTAATACTATCTGATAATGTATCTTAATGGTAAGAAGCCAAAGATTGCAGTTTTCATGTATGTTTGCTTCTTCACTGGTCAATGAGAATCCTGCTTCTGAGTTCAAGAGGAGCCTTGGGTGCTGTCTCCATGTCTCCAGATCCCTCAACGGGACCTCCATGATGATCTAGGCTTCATTATGTCAGATTGTATATAAACATGGAGTAAGCCACAAATCTGAAGTACTTAAATCCTTGCAATGTGAAGATGGTAAATACAGTCTTCAGCTTTGCAAATGAGGGGATCACTTTCTCAAAAAGCTAGCTGTAGAAAATAAAACTTGAGATTCCTAAAGAATCCAGGAACCTCCGTGCTGGTGGCCAAGACTAGATAAGGAATTACAGAATATCTGAACTATTGTAGGATCGACAGATTGACAGATATATAAATATGCATTTATACACATCATTGGTGCTGGTTCTTCTAGTGAATTCTTCCAGGAGCCAGCTGTGGGATAAAAGCATAGTAATGGCCAGCCACAGCCACACACTCAGTCTGAGAATATTTTGCCACCTTTGTTTCATGTGGAACAAGGAAGGTGTGAGGAAATGGGACACTCCTCCCAGCAGGCCTCTAATATTTTAAAGGAATTGTAAACAACAAAATTAAAGAAAGAGGGAAGAAGCACCCTCTTCACCTGCTGTTAACCCCTTTAGGCTGCTTTGAAAAGAATTTGGTAGTATTTCTGCTTGGAATGGGTTCATTTTCAAATCAGGAACCACTCCTGGGCTGGGAATAGTTACACACACTGTGTTTCTTTGCTACAAATCCTTGAAACCCATTCCATTGGTGACACATGGCCTGGTTTGGGGTTAATATAACCAAATATCTGTGCCACTGCATCAAACAGCTGAAAAAATTGGCATCATACCCCAACCAGAGAAAAATGTTCATACTACCCTACTTTTTTCCTCCTGGAAATTTTGCTGGTGGGAGGGACAGGGGTGAGAAAGATTTGGCCATTTGTCTGGGATTTCTGGGCACTGAGCAGGCTTCCCAGAGCAGTCCTTTGCAGCAAGCTGCCTTCTCCTTGGAAGTGCAGACAAACAGCTGTTGTACGTGGGACTCGCTGCAGCAGCAAGGGGTGAGTGCGCTTCAGGGCTCCACATCCCAGGGCACCTGGGATGTGTTATAACAAGAGCTAGGTGCCATCATCACAGTGGTGCATAGTCAGTTTGTGTTGGATGTGCTCTATGGGGTTCATGTGGCTGTGTTTCAGGGTTCCCCAGACAGAAATACTGCAGCTTTCTGGGACGGTCAGTCAGCTTCAGTGGGGTACTGGGCAACTCCAGGGCAGAGTCACGTAACTAATGGGTGTAACAGTGGCACAAAACTGCCCGCCACAAAGGTTCAGTTGGTTACTCCATGCCGAAACTCTCATAGAAACATAAAATGAGCAAGGAGACATTGTATCTGGACAGTAAAAATACACAGTAAATTAATATTTTTAATTGCTGTTACACAGAGAAGAAATGAGAGAAAAATACATTCCAAACAAAGAATTAAAATAGTAAAATCAGCATAAAAATGTGTTAAGAAAAGATCCCAGATCAAGTGGCAGTACTGCATGTGGTGACCTTTATAATCACAGTAAAGGAAGTAAGTGCTAGACACTTTCAGACCTGTCAAAATGCTTGACTCCCAGAGGAGAGCAGCTGCTTCAGTCATGTCTTTCAGTGCACTCTGC